GGAACTCGAGTCTCCCCAAGTGGAAATCATAGCTTTCCTGAAATTGGTTTTAGAAAAGTTAGGTTTTGAATTTTTACTTTGATCAATTTCTTTACCTCTGCTTTTCTCAGATTCCCATAAAGGACACTCCTTGATGAAGTGATTTGTGCTACCACACTTGTGACAAGAAGATTTGTCTCTTGAGTCTTGATTTTTCTTGATGCTTAATTTCTTCTTATCTGTAAATTTGTTGTTTCGGTAGAACTTCTTCAGCCTTCTCACCAACATAGAAGCTTCCTATTCATCGATATCAAACTTCTCCTTGGATTCTTCATCAGCTCTTAATGCTAGTCCTTGACTCTTGACAGTTTCTTGAGTTCTATTTTTCATTTGAATCTCATGGGTTATTAGGGAACCCGCAAGCTGTTCAAGGTTGAACTTAGTGAAATCCTTGGATTCCTGAACCGCTGCCACCTTGGCTCTCTATCTTTCGTTCTCTGGAAGACTCCTTAACACCTTACGAACCTGTTCATCTACGGGAATAATCTTACCAAGACAAGTTAGCTCATTAGTAATATTTTTATAGTGAACATATCTTTAATTGATTCTTTATTACCCATTTCAAAACGTTTATATTGTGATAACAGAATGTCAATATTGGAACGTTTAACATCTGAGGTTCCTTCATGTGTTACTTCCAGTAAATCCCAAATTTCCTTAGCAGTCTTGCACCCTTTTACATGTGTGCGTTCATCAGGGCCAAGTCCCCATATTAGATATTTTTTGGCTGTAGCATTTAACTAAAGTTTTTTGAAATTAGACTTTTCATATTATTCTATAGGCTTAGGGATTACCTCGTTATTAGCATTGGTCTTAGTAACTTCGTAATATCCTAATTGAATAACTCTGCATACCTGATAGTTCTCTGATTGGGCGAAGATCTCCATCTTGTCCTTCCAATATGAGTAGTACTTAACATTAAAATATGGAGGCCTTTGAATTGATAAACTTCCAAATTCTCACTCCTCTTTGTATGCCATCCTCCTAGGAACTTGCTCAACAGGGTTGCCTAATATTTCCGAGTTCCCCCTCTGATACCAACTAAAGTTCTAGATAGCTACTACAAGAGGGGGGTGAATTGTAGAATGAGTGAATTAATAAAATTTTTGCGGAATTCAAACAATGTAAAACAGTAGAGAGAAATGATATGGGCTTTATTTTCGAAATTTCCACTATGTAAATCAAACTCTTTTCCAACTGAATAATCAACCCGAACAAAGTTCCACAAGAACAGAACTTGTTCCTAACTCTCTCAGAAGTTTCGACTCTGAAACTTTTCTTTACCTCACAAGTTACAACTCTCACAATACCCTAAGATCTCAACTACAATAAGTAATACAAGACCTAATGCACTAGAGAACATAAGTAGTAGGTTGGAACTCTCTTCTCATTATTAACTAAATTTCTCACTATAATATTTATGCTCAAGAGTTCTGCTTTGCTGAGATCAGTTTCATGAGTTTATATAGAGGAAGCAAAGTCATTAGACACCTTCCATAACTCCCACGTACACATGTCTCCAAGTAGTGGAGAATATATGACAAGTGGTGATCACGGATGTCTTCTTTTGCTTGCACACCAATCCACAACAAACTCAACAAAGTCTCCTATTATTCTACCATGAAATAACCGAGTGAAGTGTATGATAAAACAGTTACTTTGACTTATTCAAAAAGGTATTTTGTTTAAAAAAAGATATTTTATGAATTAATTTATTTAAAAAACAGTAATATAAAGTAGATATTTTTGTTAAAAAGATAATAACTAAATCAGACTTATTTATTAAACTGATAGACATTAAAAAAGATAATAAATTAATCTGATTAATTTATTTATAAAAATATAAAATATCCTTTTTACTATTAAACAATCTTATTAAAAGAGAGTTTATCATATTCCTTCAAAACCAAATTTATATTCCAATTTAACGTTATTAATTTTATCCTTAGTAATAACGTGCCTCACTGAGTTCCAAACCAACTTATATTCTAAGTACTTACAAATAATCTAGAATGTGATTTTGAACGTTGTACTTGTGTGAATGCTACTCCACATTCCTGATTTTGTGTTCCTACTCCGGATGGATCCTTGTTGCATGAACCTTTCACTTACCAAAGACTTAAAGCATACATTAGTCGAGTTTCTCAGTTTGTTCATCAAAACCATAAGAGCAAACAATGATTCAAGAAAAATATAAGGGGGCTCACATGATTGGAGAGAAATAAAGAAAAACAATTACCCAAAAAAGAAAGTGTAACACTTATTGTGAAACTTTCTGAAATACAAAGAGCAACATTTAAAAAAAAATGGAGGGATCAGAGTAGTTACCTATCAAGGAATTACTTTCCTCATAGGTGGAGAGAACAATTTAGTACAATTATTTTTTATGGATTGATTAACAATACAGTGGTCGTAATCATGGTAGTGGGGGATGTATTTGAAATTTGAGAACTCAAACCTTGTTAATTCACAGTGTTAAGTCTTTCTTATTCCGATCCAATGCATAAACAAACAAGTTTTGAAGTAAAGAATCAACTTTAAAACCTTGGAAATTAAGAAAATTTCTCATACCATTTAGAATTTGTTATCAAATGTTTTTACAACTAAGTTTGATCGCGTAACATCAAATAAGTTTGTTAAGTATATCTTACGAGTTGACGACAGTCATCCCAACATGCAAAGACATGCACCACGACCAAAGGCATCAATTCAATAACTTAAACTACCTATCAATATACGATACGAGTACAATATATGACACCTCTCTTAAAAGGTGAATATATTCCTTTTGTATCTTTTCCAATACTACTACTCCCTCCGATTTTAATTAGTTGCTACATTTTTCCTATTGGGTCGATTATTTTGACTTGCTACATTTCTATTTTAGGATTGTGGAGCCCACTATTTTTTTTCAACTTTACCCTCATTTTTTTTGTCATTTTCCACCTTTTAATTACTAAAATACCCTTACCAACCCACTTTTTACCACTTATTACATGTGGCCCCCACACCCATCTACCCATTTCTTACTATTAGTGTTTTCCACTATGTAGCAAAAATTTAAAATCGGAGGGAGTACATTTTTAGTTTTCATGACCCCTAATGTTAGCATATCATATTTAGCTTTTGATCCTTCCAACGGTCAATTATCGGAATCCGAGCCGATCCGAGGTGTTGCCTAGCTATTTGTCATGTCTTATGTGGCGAAGGGTTGAATGCCACATAAGCTAACTACTAGGGTTATGGATCCACTTCAGCATTTGGCTTGTGCTTCACCACACTTTACCCCTTTTCTTTCTGTTGTAAACAGGTGTGTTCTGCATTTGACTTGTACTTCGAATCATATAGTCATATACTCATATGTAACACTAACACGTTTATTTCTTTTGAAAGTTAATTTGCATTCATGTATCTTTCATTCTAAATTTCTAATAATGGCGTCATGATGGTTCGAGATATCCGAACATGATATTAGTATCAATTTGAATTGACGGCGACTACTAAGATTAAGATTATATTGTGTAGAAATAAAGATATGGATTATCATCATATGATGGTGATGGCGACGATGATAATAATAATTGGTAAATGTTGTCACTACCGCCATGGATACATAACAACTTTATTTATATGTTTTTGACAATACTAGTTAAAATTGGTCCACAACGTAACAAATATTGTATAATTAGAAAAGGTTCTAAGGTAAGTTAAATATACATTAATGTAGCTAATGAATTGATTATTATTCATTTATACTTTGTATTTTCTTTGTTCACTGTCTCTCATTAGTACAGTATAGTTGGATTTTCCATCAACTTTTTTAAAATATACACAATATTCAATATTTGACTTGTAAAACTAATCATTATAAGACTACATTGATTATCTAATATATATATATATATATATATATATATATATATATATATATATATATATATAGAAATAGGATCATGTGAGAACACATCCCTTATGTGAGAACACTTTATAACCATTAGATCAAACAAGATCCAACACTCACATATATCCTTGTCAAAATAATGGCATTATTGTAAATTTTAGATTGTATATGAGAAAAATTAAAAAAAAAATTGTCCAGCTTTTCTCTCTCTAGATATTGATCTAGGTCTTGCCTTTCTCTCTCTTCTTTCCCCAAAAATTTCTGAACGAACATTGCTTTGGTCGTAATGCTTAGATATCTTTGAATTTAGACTTGAATCTACAACTATAGTTAGGTATTTGCTGTTTTAATTATTTTTCCTTTGATATTTGGCTTCAATTGTTCAAATTTTGGTATTAAATAAGGTTTTTGTGATTTTGTTGAAACCTTAGAAATCCCGAATTCTTCATCAAATGGATTCAACCGAAGCTATTGTTACATATGAACGAATGATGTAAGTATCAATTTATTGATTTTGGGAATTTTACTTTGTTTTTATGTGATTTTTAGTAGTTTGTATCATGTGATGATAGTACGAAGCAATTTATGAGATCTTGATTTAATTTTGTTCATTTTCTGGTTTCTTAATGTTTTATACTCGTTCAATTGCCAAAATGTTTAGCATGAATCTTTAACTTTTCTGTACTGATGGTTGTCCTAAGCAGTATTACATGAAGAAGTTCACGACATACATAGTGGATCTGATGAAGAAGGAGAAGCTTTTTGCATCACAAGGAGGTTCGATCATCATGCCTCAGGTACATCAAATTAAATATTGTTTAAGCAAGTCCTGAAATGGATGTTGCACTGCATAGCAAAATGTGGAAGTGTTAGAAGTAGCAAGTAAAAGTTCAAAAGCTATATTTTTCTGTTCTTACAAAGCATTTGTATATTTGAGAAGTTAAGTGATATAGGATTATAGAGCACTTCTGGTAGTGAGTTGGTTCTGTTCTACAAAAATTCTTTTATATATAGTGTTGTCTTGCATTTGAGCACTTTTTGCGTTTGTTTTAGAAGTTCTTTGTGGCTCTATTGGTTTTGTGTTCCTTCTTGTTATGTCAATTCATACAACTACAATATTCATGTAATACTTGGTATTATTTTTCTTTTTTCTTGTAGGTAGAAAATGAATATGGTTATTATGAACAATCATATGGAGATGGAGGGAAGAAATATGCCTTGTGGGCTGCCAATATGGCTCTTTCTCAGAACATAGGTGTGCCTTGGATAATGTGCCAGCAGTGGGATACACCTGATCCTGTTGTGAGAATATTTGGATATGCAGGTTCATTTTCCATGTGTGAATTGTGTGATTTCTTTGCTTCCCATGTATTTTGCTCGGAAAGGTTTATTATCTAAACCTTCACATGTGACATAGCGGCAAAAACATATAACTACTTCTTGAACTATTTTGCTGATCTTGTCTATTTGTGTTTCATGTCTGTCCATCTGTGTCTGCTTATTATGTTGTGTCATAGTGTCTTGATCTAATCATCCCTTTGGGCATTGTGGGTGGTTTTGTTGAGCCCCAAGCTGATTTCCTCTTCCATTACATCCTATATACATGGCTCATTATTGGATTTCTTGATTGTTTTTAATGATAACTGAAACTCCTAGATCTATCACTACGTCCTTTCAGAAATAATAATATGAAAGGTGTTGCTTTAGTTGAGGTGTTTCTGACTTTCTATATCTTCTTTTGTCCCTCTCCTTCCTAAAAAACAAAAAAGGAATAAGTAGAGAGATGTCTCACCCCTTTTTTATTTTATTTTATACATAACCATTACTATTATTTTTTTTATTTTTTTTATTAACTAATTATGTAAATGTTGCGAGTAAAACACTTCTCCTTTTTGGGAGAATTATATAGGTTAACTTGTGTAAAGGATGTTTCTTGCTAGTGGTGGAAATTGTACGCTTTAATACCATTACATTAATTTTACACAGGTTTCCCATTCATATGCTTGCGGTTTTTTGTCTTTTTTTAATGAACTTAGGAACTTAACAGAAATCAATCATCAATGAGCCATAGTTTATGTGACCATGCTAATTATTTGCAGATAAATACTTGTAATGGATTCTACTGTGATGAATTTACTCCAAGTTCTTCCAAAAGTCCGAAGATTTGGACTGAGAACTGGCCTGGATGGTAACTTTGCTAACATGTTTTTTGAGTTGCCTTTCAAGATCTTGAGCTTTCCAAGTTTTTAGATTTTTAAGCATCTCGTTATAAATAAGTTCATGATTGAACTGACTATTTGACTTCTGCTCCAGGTTCAAAACATTTGGCGACGTGGATCCTCACAGACCTGTTGAAGATGTTACTTATGTTGTTGCTCGTTTTTTTTTAGAAGGGTGGCAGTGTACACAACTATTACATGGTTAGTTTACTCGATCTCTGTGTCACTGATTTACTGTATATGGCCATTGTCGAATAACTCTAGTTAGGTACTATGATTCTAGCAATTGATACAGAGGTTGGCATAGAATTTAAAAAAAAAAAAAAAAAAGAAAGGTCAGAAATTCAAAGGAATGAGAAGGTACAAAAGAGAAAGGAAGGTTTTTTTTTTTTTTTTTTTTTTTTTTTTTTGTCAATATTAAACAGTGATAATGGTCAAATTGGGAAAGTTGATTATTTTTTGGAATCTTAAATTCTAAAGTGGAAATTTTGCAAAATATTGAGTTCGGTGGTGCATCTGGTTAATTTTTAGCTGAAAGTGTACCGTATAGTTTTCAATTATTCATTACCAAAGTAAATGAAATTTGAAGGGGAATGAACAACTGAATCCCTTGTATTTTTTCGTCTTAGTTTGGTGTGCACCCCACTAAAAATGTAATGAAGCATGTTACTCAGACTCTTGAGTCAAGCATTCAGGCACAATCATCTATCAGACACTACTATTATATGAAAATAGCGTACATTTTGCTCAAAGGTGTGATGTTAATAGGAACATTGTAACAGACCTTAAAGTTGTAAGCTTGTAATGATACTTTTCTTCTCTTAAGAATGATAGGTTTTTCCGTTTTGGCTGTGGAAGGTAGTGTGGTTGTGGTCCTTGAGGGTTCTCTTCCACTTTACAATTATGCGAATCTTCTCATCAGAAAGACTTGTATAGGGGTGCAAAAGAAACACAACATTAACAAATCATGCTTCCTATTGCTTTTGTGTGGAATCATTTAGGTGGTACATCTGCTTCAGGCACACCTGCTTCAGTTACACAACCATCGTCTACAATGGCTGGATCATCTACTTTAGGCACACTTCCCTAGCCTTGTCTCAGAAGAGGAAATTAGAGCTGTATTGCAAAAAGTGCCTGTAACCACATTAAATCTTGTGGACACCATTAAAGCAAGACTAAAGACACAAAAGGTACATATAATTTCCTTTTTACCTGAGACACGTTGGTTACTTGGTTACATGATGTTATGATTGAATTGCTAGGATCTGAATTTTGATTCTGCTAGAAATATATGTCCAGTTGTGGTTATGATTTTTATCTTGAAATAATCATCATAATTCCTCAAAATACACCAAAATGTAAAAAAGTTCATGATGAGACAAAGGCTAAAGAGTAATAAATTGATTGCTCCTTTCCCAAATGATCAAAGAAATGTTTGCTTATTTTACAAATGAGTAACTAATTATTTACTCATTTGACAAATGAGCAAAAATTCTTGTTGATTTAATGAATGATTAAAGAAATGTTTGCTCATTTGACAAATGAGCAACTAACTACTTGCTCATTTGACAAATGAACAACTAAGTTTTTGCTCATTTGTTAAATTAACAAATAAGTATTTGCTCATTTGACAATTGAGCAACTAACTATTTGCTCATTTCTAAATGAGCAAAAAATTGATTGCCCAATTCCCAAATTAAATGATCATGGTTGCTCATTTCACAAATGAGAAAGAAAATTAATTGCTTATTTGACAAATGAGCAACTAAGTTTTCGCTCATTTGTTAAATTAGCAACTAAGTATTTGCTCATTTGTCAAATGAGCTCATAATTTTGGCACATTTTGTCAAAAATTAATATTTATTCTTCACTAATTTGTCAAACATGAGCAAATAATTTGTCAAAATGAGCAATTAAATTTTTGCTCATTTGTCAAATGAGCAATTAATTTTTGTTCATTTGTCAAATGAGCAAACTGTTTAATGATCATTTGTCAAATGACCAAATGATTCTTGCTCATTTTGTCAAATTAATGCTCATTTGTGAGTGTGGTTGAATGGTTTAAATACGTTAGCCTACTAGCTCAAGGGTAGAGCATTGTGCAAATGCACAAAAGATGTGAGTTCGAGTCCCACGTAGGTTCATTTATGTAATGTGGAGACACAAGTTTGTATGAGAGTTTAATTGTAACAAAGTTTATATAGTTATAAATCATTTCAAACCATTTTTTTGCTCATATATATAGTATGAATTTGATTTTTTTTTAATTAATTTTGTTTATAGAGATAACCTATGTAGGAATTGAACCTACATCCCCTATGCATTTGCATAGTGCTCTACCATTTAAGCTAATAGGTTTATCATATGTTTTAAATCATTTTCTATGTAACTTGTCACCAACATATACATAATTATAACGTCAGGAAAAACAGAGATGAATAGCAAATATCTTTTGGGGGACACATAGGTTTTCCAAAACACAGTATGTAAGAAATATCAAATTCAAGGTACTAACAAAAGAGGTAATAGACAGACAAAGAGAATATTGAAGGATCTTATTTTGGCATTGTATTCTAGACAAATTTACTTAATAATTTCCTGAAGTGCACTTGGAAGTCTGTGCTTTGCCTTATATACAGGAATTATCAAAGGTATATACTTCTCAGCGGGATCAAATATAGAAGAGGAAATGTATTATAACTTGGTTAAGTTGAAAAGGTAGCAAATCTCAAAAACATACAATTCAGCATTGTCAGAAAAGAAGTGAATTCAAACGTGTTTCCAACAGTTCTTTAACATACATTTAAACATGCCAACTTGTAGCCAATAACTCAAAGAGTTCCTCTTTGCACATAAAGCATGACTTACAAGTGCCAGTTTAGCAACAGAAAGTTTGATGCGCCTAAGAATATATGAGTAACATTTTCCAATCAGAATTTTGCTCAATAACAAGTCAATAACACAGTAAAATATAAAACATAATAAGAGAAAAGGGGGAGAAGTAGAAGGGTGGCAGCAGTAGCAGGGCGACAGAATAAGGGGTTGAATAGCAGAAGGTAGACTATGTTCTACACTACAAAGTATAACATGTAAGAACTCCCAATTCAAGCCAAGGCCATGTGAAATAATTTTACTACTAATCATAAAAAACACTATATTTGTGCAACAAAAAGTGAACAAATAATCAACTTTACTGCCTATAATAGAACATGTATGATATATTTGCTAACTATGATATATTAGATTTTTGCCATTTCTCACCATCTTCCTTACACCATACCATCACCACCACCACCACCACCACCAAACTCTCTCTCCTTCCTCTGCCCTTGCACCCTACCACCACCACCAGCACCACCACAACCTGTCTCACTCTCACTCCCCTGCCACCGCCGTGTTGGGTTTTGTAGAGTCCGACTCTACGTGGAAGAGAAACCCACCCAAGACCCGCCCACTAATTAAGGCAACTAAGCATGCAATCACACTTAAACAACAATTAAGAGAGAGAAGAAAAAGACATTCATACCCTTGGCGCGTGCTTGCTTGATCCCGAGCTCTTACTTCAAAACTTGAACCCCGCAATTGCGAAGGTCTCCAACGGTTCGTACCCACGAACCCGACCCGAACGGTCCTAGCCTCGAAGGTTAGTCGGGACTTGACCAATAAAAACTAGAGTTTTACGAACTTAAGGTTTTCTCACTTTTCTAAGGAGATGCCTTTTTAGTTCCACTCAAGTGTTTTTCCCAAATCCCAAAATTTGGGTATTTATAGGGAAATGAACCTTGATTTCCCATTCTCAATCAATGTGGGAGATTTGCAATTTTCCCTACTTTATTTTAATCAAAACAAAATAAATTTGCAATTTAATTAACAAGTTACAAGTGGTAATAGGAGGAGAGGGAGAAGGTGAGGACCACCAAGGGAGGGGACCAACCCACCTTGCTCCCCAAGGCAAAGACCAAGCATTGGTCCCCACTAGCAAAACCGAACCACCAAGCCAAGTGACTGGCTTGCAGCCTGCGTTGCCTGCCAAGGCTGCCAGCTGGCGCCTAGCACCAAGGCTGGGCAGCCCAGCCAGCCAGCTAACACACACACGCACAGCCAGCCCGCATGTTCAGCCAGCCAGTGCATGTGTGATGCTAGCGAGCCACGCATGCTAAGCTGGTGCCTATGCGCTGCTAGCAAGATGCTGCTTGGTGCGTGGTGCCTGCGATGTGCGAGGCACTGGGCTGCTGCCATGCAAGGCCTAACACGCATAGCGTGCAGCGATGCCTGGCCCAGCTTGGCTAGCAAGCACGCATAGCCTAGCACGCTACTAGCATATGCAATGCTTGCGGCTAGCGATGGCTGGGGCCTGGTGCGTGCCACTACCTAGCACCACGCATAGCGCATCACCTCTTGGACGCTGCTATGCGATGCTGCTGCTGGGTGCGTGGTTGTGATGGCTAGGCGCCCAACATGCTTGCAAGCACGCAAGGCTGCGATGCCTGCGATGGCTAGCTAGCACGCATGACCCTAGCACGCCTAGCATGTTAGGCTTGCGGCTAGGATTGCGATGCTTGCGGCTGTGCTAGCCCATGCCTAGAGATGCGATGGTTACGCCTAGCCACGAATGCACAGCCACACCACACGCATGCACGCATCTTGCGATGCTTGTGCCATGCGATGTGCATGTGCTAGGGGATGCTAGGCACGCATCTCTTGGGACCTTGCCCAGCCTAGAACTCACATGGCTAGGCCAATGCGGGGCTACGGCTGGGCTTGAACTTGTAACTTGATTGTATTCACGTCTCGTCAAATTCTAAATTCGACACGGCTTGCGATGCTTGGTCTCGACGCTCTAAGCTCAATATCCGACGTCTTTGTTCGTAAAACTCTGACGACTCATCAAATCCTTCGGATAGTCTCGTCGTCTCGAATCGGTTGTTTGATTGGGTTCGACCCAAAGGGTTCAATTAATATTAAGCTGTAATACTAATTGTACATTAATATTACTGATCGGAAGCGGCCTCCACCTAGGCATTCCGATCACTTGACCTTACTAAAGAATTAGCTTTCTACTAATTTTGAACCCTCTACCGGAATAATACACTTGTTGGAAGGACACCATTCCTTTCAATCTCCAACTT